CGTTGTCGTTGTCGTTGTCGTTGTTGTTGTTGTTGTTGTTGTTGTTGTTGTTGTTGTTGTTGTTGTTGTTGTTGTTGTTGTTGTTGTTGTTGTTGTTGTTGTTCGCGAGGACACTACTGGAGGCCCGTTGCTCGACCCCTCCCGAGCAACGCCACGGGGCCACGTACGGGCCCCGCAGGGCCCCTGGTCCGAGCAACGCCACGAGGCCTCGCCAGGCCGCTGCGGGGGTCTGCAGAGCCCGGCGGCGTTGCTCGGAAGGTCCTTTCGGGGCTGCTGCGGAGTCCCATACAGGCCCCAAAGGGCGCACCCCTCACACGGATCGTGGCCCTGGCCCCACAGGGAGTTCCACCGAGGCTTGATTTCGGCGCACCCCTCTCGAGGATCGTGGCTCAGGGAGCTCCACCGAAGTTTGATTTCGGCGCACCCCTCACACGGATCGTGGCCCTGGCCCAACAGGGAGCTCCACCGAGGCTTGATTTTGGTGCACCCCTCTCGAGGATCGTGGCTCAGGGAGCTCCACCGAAACTCGATTTCGGCGCACCCCTCTCACGGATCGTGGCTCTGGCCCCACAGGGAGTTCCACCGAGGCTTCATTTCGGCACACCCCTCTCGAGGATCGTGGCCCTGGCCCCACAGGGAGCTCCACCGAAGTTTGATTTCGGCGCACCCCTCTCACGGATCGTGGCCGTGGCCCCACAAGGATTCCGTAGAATTTCTTGTTGAATATCATAGGATGCTTACAGAATCCTACAGGGTTCCACAGGTCTCCTATAGGAATTCTACGGGATCCCTACAGGGTCCTACAGGATTCCATAGGAACACTACCGGAATCCTGATGGAATACTATAGGATTCCTGCAGGGTTCTACAGGAGTCCATAGGAAACCAATTTGAATCCTGTAGGAATCCTATAGGGTCCTACAGGGTCCTACAGGATTCCATGATAATCCGATTGGACTCCTTGAGAAACCCTCTAGGATCTCTGCAGGGTCCTACAGGATTCCATCGGAATGCTATTGGAATCCTATTGGAATCCTATGGGGTCCCTACAGGGTCTTAGAGGATTCCATAGGAATTCGATTCGAATCCCATTGAAAATCCCATAGGGTGCCTACAGGGTCCTACAGGATTCCATAGGAATTCCTATTGGAATCCGAGTGGAAATCCTATAGGGTCCCTACACGGTCCTACAGGATTCCAGAGTAATCCTAGTGTAATACTATTGGAATCCGATGGGATCCCTACAGTGTCCTACAGGATTCCATAGGAATCATATTGTAGTACTACGGGAAACCTATGGGATCCCTACAGTGTCCTACACGATTCCATAGGAGTCTTATTGGAATCCCATTGCAATCCCATAAAGTCCCTACAGGGTCCTACAGGATTCCGCAGGAATCCAATTGGAATCTCATTGCAATCCCACAAGGTCCCTACAGGGTCCTACAGGATTACATAGGAGTTCCATTGGAATCCTGTTGGGCTCCTATTGAAATCCTATAGTCTCCCTACACGGTCCTACAGGATTCCACAGGATTCCAATATGAATATTATTGGGGTCCTATGGAATCCTACAGGGTCCTACAGGATTCCATAGGATTCCAATCTGAATCCTATTGGGATCCCTTTGGATCCCTATAGGATCCCTTCAGTGTCCTACAGAATTCCATAGGAATCCGATTGGAATACCATTGGAATCCTATGGGATCCCTACAGGGTTCGACAGGATTCCGTCGGATTCCTATAGGAATCCCATAGGATCCCTACAGGAGTCCATAGCAACCCTATAGGAATCCGATGGGGGGCCCTATAGGATCCCTACAGGGTCCTACAGGATTCCATCGGAACCATATAGGAATCCTATAGGATCCTTACAGGGTCCTGCAGGATTCCATAGGAGTCCTAAGGGAGGAGGAGCTGGCCTCGCTGGCGCGTGGTCGGTTTTCGGACAGGAGTGCGTGGGGAACAGTAAGGGAGCCCACGGAGATTCGGAAACACATATAGATTTACGTCAGCGTATGACAGATGTGTTGCGTGTTGCCCCCCCCCCTCCCGGGGGCAACAACTGCAACGTGTGGCCTGGGGGAGTGCGCTCGCCCCGTGGGCGAGGACACCGCCACGGGCCCCGCCGGGGTGGCCTGAGAGGTTGTCCTTGCGTTGAACATTATTAATTCTAAAGAATAATTATTGTTGGGGCCCCTGGTGCACGGCCCCCCTGCGCCGCCTAGGCCGCAGCTACATTTTCATCATTTTCGTGAGGAAGCCTCAGGTAATTCGATGTGATCAAGATCCGGTTGTTTTGTTCCCCCCCGCTTTCCCTTGCAAAAAACACTATAAAATGACATTTCTTGTTCTAATATAATCAAATTTCAAGAATCCTTTGCAAAAAATAAGGTAAAGTGGACATTCGCGCGCGCAAGACGAAATCCTTCCAAAAGCTTAGTGTTCGGAGCGATTTCAACATAAAAACATCAAAAAACCAATGGTTTTTCAACAAAAAA